GCACACCAAGGTGGGACAGGTCTCTTAGAATTCCGAAACGCCATGTTGTATCATACGCCTTTTCGATATCGAGGAACACAGAGAGAAAATATTGTCTATGGACGAAGGCGTCTCTTATCTGTGCCTCGATACGAACGAGGTGGTCTGTGGTGGATCTACTTTCTCGAAACCCGCACTGAAATGGGTCGAGCAAATTGTTTGTTTCAAGAATATGTAGAAGTCGGCAGTTTATCATTTTTTCGAATACTTTGCACAAGCAGCTTGTAAGTGCAATAGGCCTATAACTTGAAGCTAAAGAAGGGTCCTTGCCCTCTTTCAAAATGGGAATAATAATCGCCTCTTTCCAGGAGGTAGGGATAGTGCCAGAAAACCAGATAGCATTGTATAAACAAAGTAAGGTTTTTCGTGTTTCGGCTGGTAGGTTTTTTAACATTTCATACACCACACGGTCAGAACCTGGAGCAGAAGTACTGCAGGAGTTTAGAGATGTTCGGAGCTCAGCTAGACTGAAAGCTTGGTTATATGCCTCGTATCTAGTGGATTTATGTTCTAGTTTCTGCTTTTCTATTCTTGTTCTGTATTTTTGGAAAGTGTCAGTATAGTGGGACGAGCTGGATACCCGTTCAAAGTGTGCCCCGAGGAAGTTTGCCTGATCTTCCAAGGTATCACCTTGAGTGTTTACGAGTGGAAGGGTGTGTACTTGTTTCCCTGCTATCCTACCGACCATGTTCCAGACTTTTGCCTCCTGTGTGTATGAATTGATCCCCGACAAAAACTTCTGCCAGCTTTCTCTTCTGGCCTGCCGACGCGTTCTCCTGCTTTGAGACTTTATTTTCTTAAAGCTCTCAAGGTTTTCCGCTGTCGGCGAGTTGCGCAGCAACCTCCATGCCCTGTTCTGTTCCTTTCGCGCATTACGACACTCTGTGTTCCACCATGGGACGTGTCGCTTGCCGGGCTGTCCAGATGTTTGTGGGATGCATTTGGCTGCTGTGTTAATAAGGAGAGCTGTGAAGTACTGCACAGCTTCCTCTATGCTTAGCATACATATGTCAGTCCAAGATAAGTGAGCTTTGTTATGAAACTGTTCCCAGTCGGCTTTGTGTATAAGCCATTTGGGAACTCGTGGAGGATATTCGTATGATGTTTGTGTACTCAAAACGACAGGAAAATGGTCGCTTCCGTAGGGATTATTTAGAACTTTCCATTGGAGTAATGGCACAAGTGATGGAGATGCGATGCTGAGATCTATGGAAGAGTAGGTTTTGTTGGCAAGGTTATAATATGTTGCCTGTTTCCTATTCAACAGACAGGCGCCGGAGGAAAAAAGGAATTGTTCAATGAGACGACCTCGTGCGTCGCAGCGAGAATCACCCCATAGACTGCTATGAGCATTCAGGTCACCAAGGACCAGATAAGGTTCGCGTAGTTGGTCTATTAAGGACTCGAATTCTCGTTTTCCAAGACGGTGTTGTGGGGGTATGTACAGAGAGCAGATGGTGACGAGCTTGTTGAAAAGAACTGCTCGAACAGCCACTGCCTCTAGTGTTGTTTGCAGTGGTAAATGTGTGCATGCTACTTTTTGATTAACAATAATGGCTACACCGCCGGATGATGCCGCAGCATCATCTCTGTCCTTTCGGAAGAGAACATACCGACGCAAAAAATTCGTGTTTTTAGATTTTAAATGAGTTTCCTGTACACACAGCACTTTCGGCGAATGTTTGCAAAAGAGCTCTTGAACATCATCGAGGTTTCTGAGGAGTCCTCTGACGTTCCAATGTATTATTTGTGTTGCCATATTGGAGGTAACGTAGTGCTGTGTGTAAGGAGCAATGGGTGTGTCTGCTTCTTAAGCTAAGCGTTAAGACTCAAAGAACAGGGCCGTCGCCAAGCCCCGTTATTGGCTTTTTATTTCGTTTGGCGCGCTCCAGGGAGCTACGCCGATCTTTCTGCACCAGGGGTGCCGTGGTGTCCATTGCCTCCTCAGAGGCACTGGATGCCCGCATTTGCGAGCTGATGTTTTGGGCTTGGGGCCTCGCCTGGTGAGACGAGGCCTTCATATCGGCCGACCCTGGGGTCTCCTTCACCTCGGGGGGCGAAACCTTCGGTCCTCTTGGGCTAGAGGTCGAAGGAACCTCCTTTGGTGCTGGGATACCCTGGCCGCTGCAAGAGCTTGCAGCGGCCTTGGTTGTCGCCGTGGGGAGGAGTGGCAGGGCAGCCTTGGCTGTTCCCGCCGTGGGTGGGGGCATTGGCGACCGCCTGGGCACACTGTGCCTGGCATGGGCAGTTGCCGCAGGCCGTTGTAGTGCTGCCCCCTGTTGCACTACATCGGAAAACGATGGTTTGTTTGTGAAAAGCCCAGATACTTGTTGACGGGCTTCTCGGAAAGTAATGTTTTGAGTGATTTTGATTGTAACAATTTCTTTTTCCTTTTTCCATGTTGGACAGGTTCGAGAGTATGCGGGATGGGCACCATCGCAGTTTGCGCAGTGGGCCCCATCCTCCACCTTACACTCGTCCGTAGCGTGTCCTGTGGTGGCACACTTTCCGCAGGTGAGTTGGCCGCGGCAACTCTGAGAGCCGTGACCAAAACGCTGGCATTTGAAGCAACGTCGTGGGTTGGGTATGTAAGGTCTCACATTCAACTTCAAGTATCCTGTTTCGAGATGTTCAGGCAGGGTGCTGGTGCAAAATGTCACAATTATGTGTTTTGTTGGGATTTCCTTCTTATCACGCCTAATTTTGATTCTTTGCACTTGTGTCACCTGCTGGTCCTTCCAGCCCTCGAGGAGCTCACCTTCAGTCAGGTCAAGCAAGTCTTGGTCAGATACAACGCCTCGGGAAGTGTTGAGTGAGTGGTGTGGTGTAATTGAGATAGGTATGTTTCCAAACGATTCTAGTTTTGAGAGGTTTTCGTACTGGCTCTGACTTTTTACCTCGAGGAGGAGATCCCCACTGGCCATTCTTGTAGCCTGGTAACCTGGTCCAAGTGTAGTGGTGAGGCATTTGGAAACAACGAAAGGCGAAATAGTTCTGGCGTTCTTTTCAGCGGTTTCACAATGAATTACATGGTAGCGGGGAAAGGTTTCTTTCGGTTTGCTGAAATACTTGCAAAAGTCTTCGGTGCGCCCTCTCTTCGGGAGAGGACGATCATGCAATGGAGGGAGAGAAGAGAAAGCCATAAACTAAATGTGAGTTCGGCAGCCATGCCAGCCGCCCACCATGGAGCCCAACACGGGGACGTGACAAGTCCTAAATATATATGAGGCATGTCAACGTCAGCTGTACACAGCCGCTATAACCAAATGTATTGTGCCCAAGACAGAGCACATACACAAGGTTAACCCTTGCCACCAGGAAAAATCGGAAGTAAATAGAAGAGAGAAGAAGACAGGATAGATTTAAAGACGAGAAAAGACTAAGATGTAGAGAGAGAGAGAAATAGGAAAAGGCGACTACCGATTTCCCCTGGGTGGGTCAGCCCAGGGGTGCCGTCTACGTGAAGCCGGGGCCAAAGGGGTGTGTTGCCTCTGCCGGGGGGCCTTAAAGGTCCAATCACCCAGCGTCAGCTCAACCCCCAGGATCCCCTTTTCCCCGGACACGGCAAAGCCACGCACGGCTAGGCGTGGGAGGGAGTAGAAACTCCCCCGTTAGCTCGGGTCCGTGGTGTCGCTACACACCAAACGCCTGCTTTAACAGGCGCCCCTGCGGGGCAGGCAATGAAACACCGAAGACACAATGTTGTTTGACATTAACTGCATCCACGACGAGGTGTTGTGAATGACCGCCATGCGACCAGTTCGACACAAGCATCGGGACGATGCACTCTGGAAAGGGCGGCAATGACACAATGTGACTTCAAGTTATGCGCGCTAGCCGGTACTTGTGCCCTCCAGATGGTTTGCGATGCACGAGCCTGCGGGGCCCAGCTGCACGCGACCCGTGTTGGAAAAAAAAGAAGAACCTGGAGGAAGAGGCAGAAGTGAATCCTCGAGACAACTAGGGGATTTAGTTCTAGATGTGTTGTTATTCTCGGGCACAAGTTCGCCCTGCCTACGTTAGCCTTATTAAAAGTGTTCATTGAACCGTGCGTTACAATATGCTGCCTTTCCATTGACCCATGTTTTGGTCACTGGAAGGGCTGATACACAGAAGCAGTGCGAATTTCTTGAAGCTTTTCAGACCTACAAACTTATTCCGAATAGATGTGCGAGCATGCCATTAGTGTTCCTGAAAGAAAAAGGGCTCCGGTATTTTGACAGTAATTCTAGCATGTCATGATAGGGGACCTTTCTGTGTGATTGCTGAGTCCGCGCATGTTCATATTGCTTTCTTGTTCATGTTTTCATCAAAATAAAGTCAGTTGATAGTCCAGCATCCTTCCGTTCCGTGTTTCTTTTCCTTGTCTCGGTTTGTTCAGCTTCATTTGGTGCTGCTGGTATTCCTACCAAGATGAAAAACCCTGTTGTCACACTGTGGCTACAGTTCTGAGCTGCTCCTGCAAGAACATGGCATTGCAGAGTGAACATTCGAAAAAAAAAAGTGCATGTGAATAGGACTGATCAGTTCTCGTGCACGACATCCTGTTAAGAGATGCGCACGAACATGTTGCAATACATCCAGTTCTGCTCCTTTATTGAGTAGAACAGTGAAACCTGCCTATAACAAATTAGTGAGTACTAAATTGAACTGCAAACTTCCCTTGAAATATTTTCGACATACGAGATATTTTATACATTGAAATAGTTACATGTTGAACTTTATTGAGATCACCTTCAGGTTCGACACATCCGTGCTTGGCTGTACTCAATGGAACTCTGTAGCACACCTCAATCCACACTAAACCATCACCATCACATCAACTCTTCAATCCCCCATTTATTGTTGTGATGTTTTCAGCTACAAACAGCTCCCAGCCACCTCAAGCAATGAGCCTAAGAAATTGCGGAATGCACCAAGTCGCCCAAACTGTCAACCTTGTGACAGTTGTCAACACACACCTGTAAGTGACCAGTTGGGAAATGGTGAAGTGGTCCTTGAGTGCTGAACTTTCAATGGCCCGGATCAGGGGCTTGCACAGGTGGAGCTTGTTGATCTGCATGAGTATCAAGCAGTGTTAGATACGGACATTTATCCTTTTCACAGTTATGTACAGAGTGATCAGGCAATAAACTTGAATGAATGCCATGCTCATGTTCGGCAAATGCCATAGTTCTCCGAATGATGCATGAAGACATGTCATGATGTGTACTGGGTTTCCAAAGACTTGTCCAGCTCAGATTTTATTCTTCCAATGATGGTATCTTGTCAACCATGTTATCCATGACACTGAGTGGTTGAAACCGAAGATACAGAAAAAGCACAACTCCAAGCAAGACAGTGACTAAGAACAAACACACTACATTTTTTTTGTCAAATTCAATATTCATTTCATTTCACTTTGGCGTGCCCCAGATTAGTCTTGCTGGCATTTTAAGTACTTATATCTTTTTGTCACTTCTGATTAGATTTGTATAAAGAGTAGGCAAAAAAAGGTAAGATAAAATAATATTTACGGTGACAATTCTACAATGTTTTACATGTTTGCAGACAAGCTACTTGAACTTACTTCAAAACAATTTGTGATATGAATACAATTATTTTGCATCCAAGTTGACACATTGAATGGGATGTAAACTCTAAAAGTTCAGTTTGAATGAAGAGCTTTGAGCCACTGGCGAAGCTGGCAGGAGTCAATGCCCCCCCCCCCCCCTTCTCAAAATTCTTTAATTTTGCAAGCGTATCAATACACACACACACATACAAACACATGCATAAAAGTACATGAAGTACGGTTAAACCCCTTTCTTATAGCTAAAATTATCTACCTACACTACTGCATTAAACTGAACTACGCACATAATAAGCTGCTGCTATCATGAAAAAAAAAAAAGCTCTGAAGGCTTAAATTGAGGAAATATTAAGCAGTTTCAAACTAAAACCACACTAACTCAGTTTATAGTTGCTGATTCCCTTGGTGCGGAGATTTGTTTACTAGCTTTTTTTTTCTGAGCCCCGATCAAAGAAATACAGACATTCTACTGGGACAAACACTCACAACAAAGACTTATATGTAGTAAAAAATAAAATATTCTCGCACCCTTCACAACTACACTCACCCAAGCGTCCTGTGCTCACCTTAAAGTAGATCTTGAACAGCTGGTTGACTAAGTTGAGCATGCCTTGCCGTTTCGAGTTCTCCAAGGATGACCGGCTGCAGCAAAAAGGAAAGACATCTATCCTGACTTCACAGAAACATTACAAGAGCAGGCATTAAGTACGAAAATGCAGTCAAAGGATAGTAATCTATGCATAAGATTATTTTACAGTGTAAATATACTGCCATTATACCTTCTGTATAGCAAGAAAAGCTCCTACCATAAAGAATGATTTAAGAGATTATATGGAGATGGGGACTGATTGCAGATCTCATCTTTTGTGCATGGTGGCAGCAATTTACGAGCTGTAGATATGTGGCAACCACTTACCTTGAAGGGTTGTGTTTCTCAGATCTCTCGGGACTACTACCACAAGGGCTACACGGCTGGCACACTGAAGCTACTTTCTCATAAAACCGTGCTTCTCTGTCCAAGCTCCAAGTTGCCAGACAAGTACAAATCACTGGGGATTGCTCTGGTTGGTTTTTTCCAGAACCCTACCCACATATGCTTTCTTCTATTCCACATGGTACTGTCTCACAGTGGCACTAACTCACGGGTCAATGAGAAGTTAGTTGCAAAGCACATTTACTTCAACTGCTCATTTTCATGCCTGGCGAAGCACATATCAGCTAGCCATGTACTCGACCGGTCATGTGGCGAGCCTTTGCCTACAAGTCACAATTGTGACCCTGTGTTGAATCTGGGTTTACAAATCTGCATTTTCTGGAGCCATCTATGGACTGCGTCCCCGCACAGACAATGAATGCTGCTGCATTGCCCTTCGTGCGATGACGAGTTTTAGAGAGTTATCCCCTCTCCTTACCACAACTTTTATGACCAGCCTTAACAAGCAAATGCTAGTCCCCCAGGCTTGAAGCGCTAACCAACCAAACTTTTTCTTCCTTCCTACCTATGAAGCCTATGATGAGCACAAGTACATAACTACTGGAGACAGGGCAAACAACAATACACCTCCAAATTGAAAGTTTACTTTTTGAAGTAACATTGATAACATGGATTTCTTTTTTGTGCTCCTCTTGCAAATCGCAGGCACTTTTATTTTGTCTTCAGTCATTTGGCCCACATAACAAGTCTATGCAGGTATGCATTTGGTTTATTTGGCCCACACCAGTTGACACAACTACTGACAGAGCCAAGACGCGATTTAGGATAAATCAATCACACTGTCACATTTAACAGGTGCTGAGAAACTAGAGCAGTGAGTTATAAAATGGCAGTTACAGCCAAACCACCCTCTTGTTCACACTCACCTTGAAGCCACATATAGAAGTCTAAGCTTCTCTTTGATCTGGTAAAATTGTTCCTATGCTGCAGTATATCTTGCTCACTATGCAACAGATTGCAAATGAAAGTCACCTGCTGCAACGTGTTAGTACTAGTAAAACAATTTTCTCAACTACTAAAACAATTTGCTGAATGAAGGATACGGCGTAGCCATCTATGACTCTTATGAGCAGTAGTATAACTTACCAGCAACTTAAAGATGGCAATTTACATTACGCCATCATGAGAGCACACATTTTCTTGTGCATCACTGAGACAGTGTATACCTTCATATTATTCCCAATGACACCCAGAACTACTGTGTTCAAACACTCTAAGAGGCACGTAGATATGCAAAACAACATAACTGGGTGAAATCTGAATGCAAATGATCCAATGCTAAGAGCCATTAAAACCTGGCACCAACTTATATTTAAACAACAGATTGTGGTATTTTTTTTTTTTTTTGTCTGAATGCTAGCCTGCTGCCTGACAGCGCTTAGCGTCATCCACAGAAGCAACACTTGCATGCAAAGGCATTGCCACGACTGCTCACTGACTTGTCACTGGCGCAGACTCTGAAGCAGCCCATGAGATATTCCGCTGCCTTCTCCAACGTCTCTCCTGGTTTGCCTTTGCTCTTCTTTGACAGCTGCGTGTCAGCCTGGAGAGAGTGACATGACAGAGTAAATAATGAGCGAATAAATGAGTCGATGAATGAATAAATAGAACCCACTTCAACAAACAGAATTCACAGAGAAGTAGTCAGATGGGCAAATAAGGGCCAGGGAAAGCTTAAAAAAGTTTCTGGGTGTTCTTGCAAAATATTTTTCTGCAGGCGACAATGAAAATGTAGACGATGCTTACAATGATATTATGTAGTATACATATAACATATATAAACGAATTCAGCTTGAAATTCAGCTTCATTGTAACAATGTTTCAGTCATGAAAGGTATTGTACCCAACAAACTTCAACCCCAACCTGACAGTCAATTTCTGCTTTGACAAATTTCACTAGAGATTGCTAAGCGATGCTTTTAGCTTCAAGAGATGCTTAAAGCAAATACCGTATTTACTCGCGTCATGAACTCCCTCACATAATAAATGCACCCCCAACTTCACTCGGCAAAATTTGAATTTTTTTTCTCTCACGTAATAAACGCATCCCCCACATTCGTCCCCTGCAGTGCCACAAACCGACACCTGCCGTCTTCACAACCGTAGAATCTTTTCCATTTCTTGTTATGCCGAACCCCCTCGATCACCTTGACTCGCTTACACCTGTGGGCCACTTTGTTTTTTTCTATCTACGTTGGCACGTCCCTTGTCTTTTTTAATCATCTGTGCTCCACTGCGGAATACAGGAACGGTGCAAGAGTAGAGAAATAACAGCTGAGAATCACAGAGTGAGCAAAGGTCATGAAACTGCCCAGGCTAACCGATGGTCACTTTCTGCAAATACAAAACATTAAGGCCCAACCACGTACACGCGATTTTTGAGTGACGACGACAGGATTCTCGCTTCGGTAGCAATGAGCTCTTCATGCTTGTTATTTTCTCATGCGTCACGGATCGCAAGATATACGCTTCTCCTTCTACGTGTGGACAGTGAGGCAGCGGCTGCCGCATCTTGTTATCGACAGGTTGTTTTGATACTTTAATGGTAGCTTGCTACAATGTTGGTTACTTGCTGCAATGTCAACGGTGCCGCAGTCGTCGTGAGAGCTAGCAACGGGGTTGGCAAACTGCGTTGTAGCGCTTGCTTATGGGTGCCCCTCGATATCACAGGAGATACCACTTTTGCGGTTAAACGATTGCGAGAAAAGAAAGCTGTGAAACGCTTTATGGAGTGCGCGGGCGGCGTGGGGACAGCTTGTAGAAAATAGCGATATCGACCACCAAGTATGAGTGAAATATAACAAAGAAGTTATTTCCAAACAGTGTACGTGTCTATTGCAAAAGGCTTTTTTTTTTTGCATTACTGCATTTTTTGCTCATCGTGAAAAAAAGTTTTATAAAACTTGCCACGCGTGATGAATGCACCCCCAACTTTGCTTCAATTTTTCGGGAAAATAAGTGTGTTTATTGTGCGCGCAAATACAGTATTAAATCGACGTTGATTGTTGACATAGCGGTCCAGAAACCTACTTTTGTGCCAAAAAGCTCCTTATTTCGAAGTAAAATTATGTTTTAATGGTGAGCATCACATAAGCACACTTCAAATGACGTGCCTGAAAGTGGTCTTTCTGACGTCCCTGTTGTTGTGCCCATCGTTGCCCGCCTTTACTGTGTGGCTGCCAACACTAGTAGCAGCAGAGTGAAAGTAGCAGGAGGCACAGCAGCAACAACGGCCATTGAACAATTTTGTGCTTGCATGGTTAAACTGAGCCCCGCTAGATGGCACCACCTATTCAACCTGACCATGCGAAAATGAAACTTTTGAACCACTTGTGTCTTTCACCATAGTTGTGCCATGCGGTTTTTGATTTCTATGCGGGTTTTAACGTCCCAAAACCACCATATGATTATGAGAGACGCTGTAATGGAGGGCTCTGGAAATTTCGACAACCTGAGGTTCTTTAACGTGCACCCAAATCTGAGCACATGGGCCTACAGCATTTCCGCCTCCATTAGAAATGCAGCCGCGGGAGCCGAGATTCGATATACACGAACTGCGGGTCAGCAGCCGGGTATCTTAGCCACTAGACCATCGCGGCGGGGCGCCATGGAGTTTTTCTATAAATTAAACAAGCAGGAACAAGCAGCATTTTATTACGGCTCTTAATGCACAGAAAGATATTTTTTAAGGGCGAAGCTCCTTATAGTCTAACCTTGTGACCAAGAGAAGAGAAGAGAAACAAAAGAAGGCAAAAGAAATGAATGACTATTTCACGTCTCATTTCCTAGATAACCTTGTGTTACTCTGCCGCTACTCTCTGATTGGCTGCTGCGCACACTTTGCCAACAAGTGCCTCTCTCAGTCTCCTGGATAGTCGCCACGGTAGATTGTTAGTGGTACGTGGTGGATTGTTAGTGGAGCATGGACAGAGCAGAGCGGCGGGCGCGTTGAAGACGCTTACGCTCGGCTTCCTTGGCTCGTGTCTTGTCAGTGTTACCCGCACAATATCTGCATTCTCGAATGTGACTGGACACATGGACACATGCACGGACGGACAAACACATGGACGGACGAACAAACACATGGACGGACGGGCGCTTCGCCCCACTCATTATTATTCACTCCGTGGATATGGTGTGATTTTTTTTATTGAAGCTAGTTTGATTACCAGTGATTAATTGTAGTCGGACGCTCTCCCGTCATCGGGATCATTTCCAAAATGTCCCACTCGTGGTGCACGATGTGGGATACATTTAGCTCAATTTCTTGGCAAGTAGGGCACTGCTCTTGACAATATTGCTGTTTTAGAGGTCATACATCGAGCTTTCACTCTGACATAAATTGTTATATGCCTTTAGTGCCCCTTTAAGGTGGCCCCAAACAGGTATATGATGATGGCAGCGAAATTTGGGTGAGCGTCCATACCTGTGAGGCGAATACTCGGAGATCCAGGCAGACTGTGTACATGATGGGCAGGGCCCAGTTTTCTTCCTTCAGTGACTGGAAGATCTTGGTGAAAAGCTTGCAGCAGGAAAGAGCAGGCTGCCGTTAAGGAGCAAGTGGCACTCCGCGCTTTACGAGCACCTTCTTACTTACAAAACCATACCCACAATTATATGGGCATTCAAGCCGCGAATGCAAAAACTACCACACCGCAGCTCGCATGCTGTAACACTCTGACCCTAGAGACCAACACCAACCCACTGCTACTATGCATTTCTTCTGTAATCACAATGAATGTCAAGCTACATATTTGTGTTATACTTGAAGTTTCTGCTACAATGGTGTATTATCATACCATGCTTTAAGCATCTTAGTTTTTTTTTCCCCCACCATGTTGCACCACTGTGTTTTGTGTTTCCTTTCCACTTCCTTTTTTTAATCTACCCACTCTCTATGCCAGGAGTCTCATACACGCTGCCCGCATATGACAGTCTTCGTCCCAAATTTTTTTCACAACTGTTTATGATATTGCTAAAACTTGTTTGCATAATTTTTTTTAATATCATGGTATGCAACATTTCTTCGGCTAAGCTACACTGCAGTCGCTGATCTAAGCATTTGTTTTTCGAGTCACCCTGTGTAGTAACCCGACAGTGAAACAAGACCATAGAAGTAGTCTGCACTTCAGAATCATCGTGCAAATTTTAGTTACTTGGGATATTAGCACCGACATCTTTTTCAAACACCTGCACCAAACCCCCTTTGAGAATGACTGACATAGTCCTATATTAAAATTGTAACGTTAGCTGACTGGTTATATCATTAGCCGACTAACATCCTCGATCCCCCCCCCCCCCCCCCCCCCGCTTTCAACTTTTTCCCCTCCCCGGCCCTTTGCAAGAAGACGAAATTCGGGACTGCACCATAGCAGCATTTGCGAGTTTGAGACCGCTGGTCTAGGTAACACACTCTTAAGAGGGCTCTTAGGGGTACTGTGAATAATAATATTATTAACAATACATCATAATAATAATGTCCCGAGTACTTTCATAGCTACTACCAATGACGAATTCTACTGCCCCGGACAATTCCCTATTATAAACAGCCTACATTTTGTTTTGTGCTAATGAGCCATGCTTATCTACAAGTACAGGAAATGAAATTGGCGATTCTTTATTAGTGAACAAACATTAAGAACCTCACCATAACGGCAACACTTACAGTAACTCGGATGATGCGCTGTCAATCGGCATTTCATTATGCGAATAGTTGGAGAAGAAAACATGTGGCATCGAGCAGGTGGGGCGCATGCCTTCATGCTTAAACGATGCAGCATCAAGCACTGTAACAAGCTAACTCGAACATAAAAAAATTCTTGAGGATGTTCCATTCACCTGTTGAATACATGCATTCACAGCATAAGGTAGTTATGGCATCAGGCTTCTGCGCTAGAGGTTCTATGCTTGATTCCAGAAGACAAACAACTAAGCTCTTGTCTTTTACATTTGTTTTTTATTATCCTTTCCAATTTTTACATTAATGGTCCCTGCTATCACAACTGGGTAATTTGTCATTGCTTTTTTCCAGTAACGTGGCTTCTAATGCAGGGCGTGCAAAACAGCAACCTGCTTGCTGCACACCATGCATAGTGTGAAGGATATTGAACAAGGAGAGCTTGCTCCTTGTAGGCCTCCACAAAGTTGTAGTTGTTCATGTGGTACAGGCACCTGAAGTAAACAAACGCGCTTGATGCAATATACAGTACAGTCTTCCCGCGAACACTACCTGGGAGCAAAGAAGGTAGACAGTCACACTAAAGAAAAGTATTAAATAAAAAATACACCTCAATGAAACACAATGAGAATTGCCACTGTTAAGTACACTGTCCATCAAGTTTGAGGTCATTTAATTTCTGCAAACGACACATGAATTAAACTCAGACTTGCATGGCCAGCATATGCAAAGCAAGTTCAAGCAATAAATGTGGCAAGCTTAGAATTAGTTTTAATGCTTTCTTTCTCAATTACATGGCGCTTTTGTATGTAAAACGGGGTTGTACAGATAGTACCACAAGACTAGACGTGACTTTCAGACTGTTTCTGTCATGAACAAATGGTTAGCCACGTTAGTTTAGATTGTAATGTTCAAAAGTTCCAACAATGGGCTCTGTGAAATGCATAGTAGAAGAGCACAAGATAACAGCTTTTTTAATCTCTGTTCCCCTGAATGTATATAAAAGCTTGCTGTCACATTCCCCATCTACCTGCACCTGCAGTGGCTAGGGGTTGAACCAGCAATATGATACTCTGCAGTTGCAGCAGAAGACTCTATTCATTCGAAATAATCTCGTGGCAATCTCGACAGTCAGACAAGATTTCACTAATTAAGGAATCTGGATATTTGCTCTGATGTATGTATCCTATGCCAAACAAATTACAGCAAATCTAGCTACTGCACTGTACATGATAAGCATGTATGCCACCTCAGGTGCTGAGAGACCACTTCATCCCACGGTGCGTCCATCACGCGTTGCACTGCAGCATCAGGGTCTTCCACCTGAAGTCGAGAGCTTGCGCTGTGCGCATGCTTGCAGGACAGCAACTCCTGCAAGACGGGCCCAAGTACTCTATTGCAGTTTCACAGAAGGAAAAGAACACAATGTGATGTCCAACATTCTCATTAAAAAGCGGCAATGGCAGCCAGCAAGTGAACGCACGCATTCGTGATAGGCAGTGCAATGCCTCAGCCGCTAGCCACCGCTAGCGAGCAGGTTCAGCACTCCTAAAACAATGACGACTAGAGACCGGATTTCACGCAAATTCCTATTTTGTTCCTCGAGTTCTTTTTGTGCCACTTATATACATGAGCATGAATTAGGTGTTGAGGAGGGCTTTTATGGTGTTTTCATAGTGCCTATAACTGCCTATTTCTCACATTTGTGCCTAAATTGCTATAATTGCCTATTTTTAATATAAGTGCCTATATGAACACTATTTAACCTAAAATTTTGTTTTCAGGTACAGTTTAAGACCGTTATTCATGTTACCAGGCAAAAATGACCTTTATACACTCTATGGGGTGCCACCTAGTTATCTAGTTCAACAAACTTCCAGAAAGCAACTGCTAGCAGCAGTGAAATAAGATGCGCCGTCCATCTTGTGCCACCGCAGTGACATAGGGCAAGCAGGAGGAGGAGGAGGGAAAGAACGAGAGGAAAAGACGTTATTTCTGCAACCCTAAGTGGGTGATTCTGTTGACAGACAAGGAGGGCGACTTAGTGTGCATGGTGACTGAGAGAACACCTCAACGGGTACACACACTGTGAAAGGGGATGAAAAGGGGACAGCTGCATCCGAGCGTATACAGCGGAAGGCAAAGGTGGGAAGAGGGAAAGGACAGAAGACGAGTGGCTGAGGATGTGGCGAGTATCCTTTAAAGCCAGATTTCTAGTGCAGTGTTCCCCTCGAACAGCTTTCACAGGAGGTGCCTCTGCAGCTGCAGGAAGATCGAAAGCAAATGCAAAACTGCGGAGTGCGGTCAGGGGAAAACATCAGGTAAAAAAAATCAGATGTGCACGCGGCTTTTATTTTGCATGTACTTTACTTCTTAAGGGCACTTTACCAGGTCACATGAGAAATTTTAGCCCCTGAAAGTTGTGACATGCCCAAGGAAGAGTTTTGTACCCCAATAATTCTTGAATTGGTTGATTACAAGCCCTCAAAGCGTGATACCAAAAGGTAAGCTTGAAACCTTTGCCACATGCCTCGGGTAGACTTCGCAAGTCAGATGAGGGCCTGCCCTCGTCTGTGTCCGAGCATCTTGTAACCAGAAGATCATATGACGCAGACACATCAACACACCATGCGCACGCAAGGCTACCATGCGTATGACATGCTCAAACTAGATCGCGCACGCAAGCAATGTTGTATCGTTTCTGCATTTTTTGTGAGATATACTACCTGCTCCTGAGGGTTGAATCCCTCTATGCAAGCACGTTTGGAGAGGCTGGCATGGATCACGTATTTTTTTGTGACAATACACAGCGTCGCACCGCGGGACTATTGTAGAAGACGGTGCACCAAAAACACACCAGGCATAGTCAGAGCCAGCACCGGCACGATTCGAGAACGGTGAGAATCCGAACAGAAACGAAATGGAGGTAGCTTAGTGTCACATCTTGCTTCATTAAAAAGTAAAAAATAATAATGATGATGAGAAGGCAGAGTCTGTATGTTCTATTATTTCTATCAACAACTTTCATTCTATATTCAAGCAACAGGTTGCGCAAATTACACCTCACGTTGAATAATTCACGCAGTGGCATGTACTACTGTGACATATGCAGGACCAGTGCTTGTCGAACGTCACCTACTCCATGGTGGGGCGCGCGCTCGTGAGATGGAGGGTAAGCGGTGTCCAGTCGGACACGTTGCCTCTTTCAGGAGTGTGTACCGCTGCAAACCTTGGCAGACACGATCGCTAGTGCCCAGTCTACGTATTCACTAGCCAACTCGAAATGCTCAAACCTGAAGGGTGGGGGATGGGGGGGGTCTTTAAAGGTGTTCACGGGCAGAAGAGAAAATGACCCTGCTGGCCTTTTGAGCGGTCTGGCTCGCCTGTGCTGCTCCTCTAAGCCATGCCGACAAAAAAAAAAAAAAACCGTGAGCATGTTTATTGGACGATCAAAACTTGACTAGCCTTGTTGGACAATAAAAGGGGAGACCATGTTCTGCAAATCATGCGGGAAAATGAAGAATGGCCCGGCTATATTAAACCAGTGGCGTCTTTGTGCCATAATAAACTATATTTTCATTCTTTTTTGCTTTCTTATCGTAAAAGTAGGTTACGCACGTAGTTCTTTGAAAATTTGAATTTTTGTGAAAGTTTACTATTCACGATTTTGGGGTCTTGAAACAATGTTTTGCCTGCCTATTTTTGGCGCTTAAAACATGACTTCGCTAGTGCCTAAACATCCAGCCTCTAATTATGACGTATGAAAAACCACAGAAGTTCGTTGCTTTAGTGCGACTACAGTGACTTATCTTCCTATGTGCACGGACGACGAAACAGTTGCCGAACGTAACGTTACGCGCTCACTTCATGAAGATGATGCCGCGGGCAGGAAGTGGCCGGAACACTCACCGCGGCCTTCTTCCCCCTTCCTTGCTGCAAAGCTTCGTCGACCTGCGAGCAGCAAAGTGAAACATTCGCGCTTTGGATTCACATGCACAACCGCACTAGCTCCACACCACGCAACGCCGTTCACACATGTCCCCACATTACGAATGCCGCGCCAAGATGCCTACCTGCTGAAGATACTGATTCATTGTGATGTGAGCCATGGCTATGCACTCAAAAACAATGCGCGCAGTTACGCGAGTTTACAAGCATTAAGGCATGAAACAGGACAATAAAATCTTGAGACCGCGATTGTTTACCGAGAAAGCAGCGCCATTAATGAATTAGCGTGGATTATACTTGGATTGGATCGACGCTTAGTCGATGATGACTTTTTAACTGATGGCGTTTACCGTTGCGTTTACTCACAAAAACTGGACGGCTTATATAAAACTATGCCAAGCTGAAAATTATGGTTATGTAGTGATTGTCCTTCTTTTTTGTGTTGTTACATTAGTGGTTCTGGGCTTTTTAACAAAGAACCACGGAGGAATGCAGACTCAGTCGCTGCTGAACTGACTCTGCGGATCGCATGAATAAAGTGCCTTTTTTCATTCACCGGAACGGCTACGTGAGTTATTACCGTCCTTGATTTCATGGTACCTCATGAATGGCAGAGATCATCACAAGCACTTCCACATGCAAGCGCCAGGGGCTCTCCTAGTGGACAGACGCGAACATCTACGGTCGCATCGGATCCGGATCGGCTGGTGCACGTGGTTTTTCCGGTTCTGCGTTGTGTTGTGTGCCCCAACAAAATGTGTGTCCGTGTGCGCAATGAGAAAAGCGAGTCGGCCAGCCCACAAAGCTGGTACACAGTACTGCTGTGTGGTTGAGTGCCACAACAGCCTCGAGAATACGAAAGGCCGGTACCCTCCCGTGAAATTCTACAGATTTCCTGGCAAATGGTATGAAGCGGAAAGGCGTGAAGCGTGGAAAGCGGCCGTCCGTAGAGTCAAGTGAGTGGCCTTCCGCGTCTTATCAACGTGCTTTTTCGAGTGATTATTGGTGTGGAGCCCATGCGCAGTCCTACTAAGGTAGGAAGGCCTATCCAATCGAGGAACGTTCAACCGCGTCACTCGACAGGGCGAGCCTTATCGACATTTGATGTGTGGTCAGACTTTTTGGGTTTGTGTTTTTGTGAAACATGTTTGTTTTCGGGTTCAAATATTATATAATACTTTCATCCTTGAAGTTCTCGTTCATGGAAAATGCTAAGTTGCCTTTTACAACAGCACCATCCACGCGAACGTGCTTGCACATTTGGGGATACTTCCTTACTGCGTGTTGCTAACGTGCATGACAATTGCTTTTGTCATGACGGGGCGCAAGCATTGCGGTATGCTGCTGGTGCCTGAATAATTTTGCTTTTTTCTTTCTCCTGTTGTGTTGCTGCATTGTTAACAGGCTTTCTAATGAGCAAAAGGAGCCCCGCAGCGGTGGTCTAGTGGCTAAGGTTCTCGGCTGCTGACCCGCAGGTCGCGGGATCGAATCCCAGCTGTGGCGGCTGAATTTCCGATGGAGGGGGAAATGTAGGCCTGTATGCTCAGATATGGGTGCACGTTAAAGAACCCCAGGTAATCGAAATTTTCGGAGCCTTCCACTACGGTGTCTCTCATAATCATATGGTGGTTTTGGGACGTTAAACCCCACATATCAATCATTAAGCCCAAACTCCATAAGCGCGAAAATGCACGCGACAGCGACGAGCGACGCGACGTAGATCGGCGTCGCGCGATCAGTCGCTCGCGCAGGCAAACTCCATTCACGCGACGGCTTCGGCGAGCGAATTCCACTGTTGCTGGCATGAGGCCGTCAACTCGCACCAAAAAAACCGCGTAGCGAGCGGTTTCCAATTTAAAAATAAAATATATTGTTGTGTAATGGAACGGAAAGTGTTTATTATTGCCTTGCAGCATCTTTATATGCGCATGCGTAATAAACATTGCGTTATTTCTTGTTGCGCATACGTGACTCGGGCAGGGTCACGTGCACCTATGTAGTCTTCGTCTTTTCCGGTTTTTCGCTATTGGCTGCTTGAGCCCAGCACTTCCGGGCGATGAGCGACGGTTTCCAAATCTGGAGAACCGAGCGATCGCGCGAAAACGAGCACGCGACACGTCGCGCGAACGCCCTGTTTCGTCGCTCATAGCGTCGCTCGTCGCTGTCGCGTGCATTTTCGCGCGTATGGAGTTTGGGCTTTAATGAGCAAAGGGAATAGAAAGAGAGAGATGTGTTAATCAGAGAATAAAAAACTCAAGGGGGAGCAATATGGAAAAAATACGTGAGAGACTGCCGCGTATATCCTGTATCTGATATTTGAGGTAGAAGCCCCAAAAAACAAGATGACCAACGAAGACAGACTTGGTGAATAACTGCTTTATTTCAGCTCGCGCGCTCCACGAACTGTGCTGCCGAAACAAACTGAGAGCCATGATGATGATGAGGAATTGTGGTTATAGCCTTTTGTATCGTGTAGGCCGCTTTTGAATGCCTTAACCAATGAGAACAAAAAAAGACGGAAAATGGTGGAAAAGTGACTATATATGATAAATAGACAATAAGAAATGAGACAGAAAAGGGTAAAAAAAAGGGGGGTGAGGCAGATACACAAATGGTTTTGCACACACACTATGAAATGTTCACCACAGCCGGCTAGTGTATCGTTCAGGGCACCTAAGCTGTCTGAACTGTTTGAACACTGTGCATGGCACTGCCTGTAACTCTTGCACTACTACTGGGCCAGTTTCTGTTTTGTGACCTTCACTGCTCTGTCCACCGCTCTGTTCTCCTTCGCATCTTCTCGGAGTCCCAGTGCCTGTGGTCATAGAGGTGCTCCATGGCAATGTCAGTTTTGTGGGTGCGATATGTCAGCAATGTGGACTTCTCTTGCATAGTATGCCGCCACTGCTCTGTCTCCACATCACAAACCTGCGTTTTGACAGAATGGGCTTACTTTTGCGTTTTGTCTTTAGCCACAGCCATAGAGGCCGAACTTTCTTTTCAGGTTGCCCAGGGGCCTGTACCACTGTTTGCTGGTTAGGCTCGTATATCTGAACAGCTGCTTGGGCCACCGTTCGTCATCCATGAGGCTCAGGCGTCCTTCGTACATGGCTTTGTTTCTCCCCTCATGAGCCTCAAAGGTGGACCATCCCAGGTCACCTTGAGTGGCCTCCATGGCTACACGTCTGTGGCACCCAAGTGCCGTACGGCTCACCTCCCGTTGACTGCCGCTCCAGCCATTGCGTGGTTGTCACAGTGAGGTACAAGATAGCATTGGCAAAAGTGAGGCCAGGGACATGTACGGCCTTCCACAAGTCTCTTACGAGGAGGAAATGGTTGCATCCCCACAGGCTTTTATGGCGAAGCACATTTGCTGGTCTCTGTGAAGACCTGCACAACTTTTTTTGTGCCCCGTTAACGATTCACCAGATATGTTCAATACCACTCCGAGGTACTGATATTCAGTGGCCCACTGTATCTCATTTCTTTCTGGCAGGCATACGTCGGCAGTAGGGTGGGAGCCTGACAGCTGTAACGCCGCGGACTTTTTGAATTAAAGGCAAGGTCCAGGTGGTATAGATGGGTCGCGGCGAGGATGACTAATTGTTGCAGGTCCGTTGGACTTTGGGCTAGTTCGATCAGGTCGTTAGCATAAACTATGCCTGATAGCTTCCAAGTCACGGACGTTCTATTGTACATGTATGTGAATGCAAAGCCGATACCGGTTGCTAAGAGCATATGTTCCAGTCCAGAAACATAAATCAATGGGTGAGATTGGACCGCTCTGTTTAAGTCCCTGTGTTACCATTATTGGTCTGGACTGGGCTCCGTCAAAGCATGCAATAACAGAGTTGTCTTTGTATAGCCATCGTAGTAGGCCGAACCACAATTCTGGCTTTCCGACATCTGCCATCCACTAGAACAGAGATCCATGTGGGACGCTGTTCTATGCCTTGGCCATGTCTAGGAAGCACCCATACAGGTCTCTATACTCCTTGGGAGCCACTGCTATGGTCTGCACAAGCACGAAGAGGTTGTCTTCCAGGTACCGGTCAGCTCGAAACCTGTTCGGCAAGTCTGTCAGCACGTTGTTCTTCTCTGCCCATCCACTCATCCAACATTCAATATTTGTGCAAATACACGGTATGGGACACTTGTTACAGTCAAAGGCTTGTAGTCTCGCAGGAGCCCAGCATCTCTGCCTTTCTTCATCACCAGGCACTCTCTTCCTCTTCGCCAGGCTGTAGGGACTGTGTCTCTTGCCACGATGCCAGAGGAAATGTCGGCAAGGTGGTTTGGGTAGCATCCCTTAAGCGCTTAAAGGGCCACTCACCAGGTTTGTCAATTTTGAGCTGACAAGCGCAATGCGTAGAGGAGGCGTTCATGATCACGTCTGCCAAAATTTGCAACGCTACGTGCCACGAAAATGGGTCAAATTTTAAGATGAATGCCTCCTCCCTTCTGCCGGCGGGCGCCCGGAGAATCAGGGCATGACGTGCGCGTATGAATGGCCCTAAGTACACGGCAATGCAGTGATGTTGGTTCTCTACGTAGATGACTCTGCTCTGACGTTGCAAACAGTCGCACATGACATGGCAGAAATTATTTAACACGGCATGCGTAGTTTATTAATTTGTTGCTTGAAGAGATTAATAAAGCTTTAGATAAATAATGAGATGTGGTGAGGGAATGTGAGCGTCTTTTTTCCATTTTTCTCCCATGAATTGCAACGAGATGCGGGGCTAATGTGTCGGCGTTTCGCATGCGTTCGTGTACCCGTGGTCAGCGCATCACATCGAGTTGACGACCACCGTGGAACGCTCCTACCCGTTTGCCACTCATTGCGCTCATATATTCTACCAGGTCTAAGCCAGCATTTCCAAATCATCCCGCAGAAACAGGCAGAAGACCACAAAATAATGCTGTTCAACAAAGCAACGCCGCTCGTGTGCTCGGGGGTTGGACTTATTTGGGCACGTCATGCACACGTGACCTCTTGGTCGGATGCCTTAAAGGGTGGGGAAGAAATTTGGCTTGCGAAGGCTACGTAGAGGAGCGGCAAGGGTTTTGAGCTCGCCTCCTCTCATCCTCGTTTCGCGCCGCTTCAAACAACTCGTTTTCTCCACTCGTGATGAACCGATTCAATAATTTTTTGTGGCAAAATGTTCTTCATCGGACACCCAACAACTTCCACTGTCTAAGTAAAATTTGGTATGGGGCCTGGTGAGTGGCCCTTTAACAATACCGGCAGTTGTGTTGAGTCCTTTTGCTGTGTGTGCATCAATTTGTACAACTGCTTTGTCCACTGTCCTTTGTGTCACTTGCCATTTCATGATCTCATCTTCAGGATAGTAGATCTCTTCTTCTTTCTCCTCTTAGGGCGCGCACGACGATTGCACAGGTTGACACACAGTTCATATGCTCAGTTAGCTGTCCGGGAGGTTACAGACGGGCAGAATTATTTCCTCATTCCGAATCCGCGGCGTGCGTGCCCTCCTGTGGAGTGATGACACATCTGTTCGAAACCTCCGGGAACCATTTTGTCTGTCCTCAGTTGAAGCTTTCAGCTGCTTGCCATTATAATCAGCAATCTTGCGTTGCACTGTTGCTTGCATGGCATTTTTACATTCCAGGTACCTCTGCCATAGCATTGCACATTTGTGTGGAGGAGCGTCTTTAGGGCTTTCTGTGGAGGCGATTTTCCTCTCATTGAGCATTCAGTGCCAAATGGCCCTCCTTGTCCCACCACGACTTCCCGTGCACCCTCCCCGGGAGTTAACATATACTTCATGTGCTTGCATTATCTGTCAGAGACCTTCTACATAGCAGTCATAGGACTCCATAATCATGAACCTGTTTTCAAACTCTTCAGCGATGTTTTCATACTTCTCTACCAGTATGTAACGTGAGGCTGGCTCACGATTTTCTGTCCGTTTTTGCTGCCATGTGGAAGTTA